TTTTTTTAATTTTTTTTTTTTTTTTTTGCGAGATAGCAAGAGAGAGAACGAGAGATAGCATAAGTTGGGGTGGGGGGCAGGGAGAAAGAGAAACAGACTTCCTGCTGAGCAGGGAGTCTGACACCAGATTCAATCCCATGACTCCAGGATCATGACTGGAGCTGAAGGCAGATGTTTAACTGACTGACCCATCCGGCGCCCCAGCTCTGCCTACCTTTTAATCCCTTTTCCCTTCAATAATATTGGAATATTTGAATTCCAATTCAAATATTGAAATATTTGAATCCTGCAACTCATCAAGTTCCCTCTCCTCTCTGGACTTTTGTAATTCAGTTCCTTAATCTGGGTAACACTTATTCCCTATCAAGCATGTGGGGCCAGCTTTATGACTTATAGGTGTTAGCAGTAGTGTCCCAGAAGATGGCAAATTGAAATGCCAGTATCGGTTGATTTATACTAGATTGCTGTACTCTTTCTTTGTTTTTATTTTCTAGATTGGAGGGGTTTTTTGTTTGTTTGTTTCTTTGTTTTTGTTTTAGAATTTTAACTTTCTGATAGTAACTCTTTCACACTGTTGAGAGTCTTGAAATAAAGTCAACAAGAGTGGACCAACAGAGAAAAAAGACTTTATTTAGATGCTAGCAAAAGGATCAGTCTGAACGTAAGACTACTCCGTTGTCTGGAAGTTAGCAGGTTTTATAAGTTCTGGCATTTAGATTGGTCATGAGAAAGAAAAGGAACAAGGAAATGAAAGTGTGATATGTGGGGCAATGCAAATCCTTCATTATTAGCTTTTAGAAGTAGATGTCGTCATGATAAGCAAGGGCAGGAAAGTACATTCTGCAGTTTGGAGTTAGAAAGGAAAACCAACAATTTAAACAAGTCCAGATTACATTCACAATTTAGAATTTATCAAGAGAATTTACAAGTAGGGGCTTGTAGTTCTTGTAAGGATTGAGAAAAAGATCTTTGTAATTTACAGAACTATAATATTGAACACCAAAATACATTATATAAGCAACAATATGTGTTTTGTTTTCATCATGTGTACATGGCAAAATGTGAACTAACTAGAGGTGTCCCCCAGAACTTTCTCAGGAGGTCTCTCTTTTTGCTGGGAACAGGTTGTTGTGAGCTTGTATAATCTTTGAAAGCTCAGTCAAGCAAGATAATTTATTCAGTTGATTAGGATTTCTTATAGTAAATAACCAAATCAAATGAACCAAATTCCAAAGTTCGTAGACAGGCTGCTCTAAATGAAAACCACCGATAGAAAGCAAGACAAATTTTGTAAAAAATGACATTACAAGGGCGCCTGGGTGGCTCAGTTGGTTGGACATCTGATTCTTGATTTCAGCTTCGGTCATGATCTCATGGATCCTGGGATCAAGCCCTGCATAGAGCGCTGCATCAGGCTGTTTATCTTCTTCTCCCTCTCTCTCTGCCCTTCCTCTCTCTCTAAAATAAATAAGCAAATCTTTAAAAAATGACATTATAGAATAATTAAGATTTAATCAAACTACAAATTGAGAACTCTGGCATTAATGAATCAGAAGTGAGGTATCTTTTAAAATGATAAAGAGTAACGCTCAAGAAAGCTTATTTTCGGGACGCCTGGGTGGCTCAGTTGGTTGGACAACTGCCTTCGGCTCGGGTCATGATCCTGGAGTCCTGGGATCGAGTCCCGCATCGGACTCCCGGCTCCACGGGGAGTCTGCTTCTCTCTCTGACCTTCTCCTTGCTCATGCTCTCTCTCACTCTCTCTCAAATAAATAAATAAAATCTTAAAAAAAAAAGAAAGCTTATTTTCCCCATAAAAGCAAACTATTTTATAAATATTTTTATTGAGACATAATGGACATATAAAATTATGTAACATTAAGGTACACAATAAGTTGATTAGATATTTTTATAGATTGCAACTATGATTACCATCTTAGCTGACACCTCCATCACACCACATAATTAACATTTCCTTTTTGTGGTGAGAACAATTAAGATCTAGTGGCACCTGGGGGGACCCAGTCAGTTGGGTGTCTGCCTTCTGCTCCATCGTGATCCCAGAGTTCTGAGATCAGGTCTACATTGGGCCCTCTGCTCATCGGAGAGCCTGCTTCTCCTTCTGCTCCTCCCCCTGCTTGTACTGTTTCTCTCTCTGTCAAGTAAATAAATAAAATCTTCATAAAAAAAAAAAGAGAACAATTAAGATCTAGTCTCTTAGCAACTTTGATGTTTGTAATATGGTATTATAAAAGCAAACTATTTTATACTTCTGCAGCATGTTTAAGAAGCTAACTATAGGGGCGCCTGGGTGGCTCAGTGGGTTAAGCCGCTGCCTTCGGCTCAGGTCATGGTCTCGGAGTCCTGGGATCGAGCCCCGCATCGGGCTCTCTGCTCTCTAGGGGAGCCTGCTTCCTCCTCTCTCTCTGCCTGCCTCTCTGCCTGCTTGTGATCTCTCTGTCAAATAAATAAATAAAATCTTTAAAAAAAAAAAAAAAAGAAGCTAACTATATTTGGTTTTAGAAAAGAAAATCTAGTAAGTTGCAGATATGAATTATACATCAAATATGATTTACTTATGTATCAAAAATAAGTACATATGATTTTTCATGGCACAGCATTTATAAGGATTCCTATGCTTCTGACTGTGACCAATTCAAGATGTAAAGTGGAATAGATTTCTCAGAAGCAGAGGCCTACTGGGTGCCTGGGTGACTCAGTTGGTTAAGTATCTGCTTTTGGCTCAGATCATGATCCCAGTGTCCTGGGATAGAGTCCTGCATCCCATCAGGCTCCCTGCTCAGGAGGGAATTTGCTTCTCTCCCTCTGCCCCTCTAGTGGTGCTCTCTTGCTCTCACTCTCTCTCAAATAGATAAATAACATCTTTCAAAAAAAAAAGCAGAGGGGCACCTGGGTGGCTCAGTGGGTTAAAGTCTCTGCCTTCGGCTCAGATCATGATCCCAGGGTCCTGGGATCGAGCCCCACGTCTGGCTCTCTGCTTAGCAGGGAGCCTGCTTCCCTTCCTCTCTCTCTCTGCCTGCCTCTCTGCCTACTTGTGATCTCTGCCTGTCAAATAAATAAATAAATAAATAAATCTTTAAAAAAAAAAAAAAGCGGAGGCCTATTTTGTGGGAATGGAAACTTGTAAATATGGTGTGTGTGTGTGTGTGTGTGTGTGTGTGCAGGCGTGTGCACAGGACTTGAGTCACTAAAAATAAAGCCGTTTACACAGGAAAGGAAATCCCACCAGTTGTCTGACAATCTAAAGGTGGGGCAAATATAGGTGAAATAGTCTGGTACATAAACCATTTTAATCAGGTTGGCAGTCTACTCCTGACTTGTCTCCCCCACCCCCACCCCCATTAAAGTCATTTGGCATATGCTGTTAAAGTATATATATATTAGAGGGGCGCCTAGGTGGCTCAGTGCGTTAAAGCCTCTGCCTTCGGCTCAGGTCATGATCCCAGGGTCCTCGAATGGAGCCCCACGTCGGGCTCTCTGCTCCGTGGGGAGCTTGCTTCCTCTTCTCCCTCTGCCTGCCTCTCTGCCTACTTGTGATCTCTGTCTGTCAAATAAATAAATAAATAAAATCTTAAAAAAAAAAAAGTATATATATTAGAAACAGGGAATGGGGGTGGGGCATAGGCAGGTTTTTGCCAAGTAACAGTATATGGCGATGTGGGCAATGGCTTCATCCATCAGTAACTCTTGCTTTGGTTTTTATTTTATTATTTTAATTTTTTTATTTTTTTAAAGATTTTATTTATTTGACAGACAGAAATCACAAGTAGGCGGAGAGGCAGGCAGAGAGAGAGAAGAGGAAGCAGGCTCCCAGCTGAGCAAAGAGCCTGATGTGGGGCTCGATCCCAGGTCCTGGGATCACGACCTGAGCTGAAGGCAGAGGCTTTAACCCACTGAGCCACCCAGGCGCCCATTGCTTTGGTTTTTAAACCACAAACTCTTTCCAGACAAAACTGACAAGCGGCTCAATAAAGTTTTGTGTAAGATGTATTGTCAGAAAATCAGGCTTGACATCAGGCTTGATAGACTTATAGAGCACATTTTGATTGTATTTAGTTTCATAAAAACAGGTCAGTAAGGGGAGAACCCACGTATGATCATCTCTCTTCAGATTCTCAAAAGCATGAGTACCGGTTTTACCCAATCTCACAGTTCTGCAAATAAGAATAGCACAGTAAGCGTGTTCAAGAGTGTGAGAACCACGAATACTAGTGATTGAAACCTGTGTTTTATCTTTACAGGCTTCGAAAAACCAAAGCTTTGTGTGAACACCCGCCATGACTAAATCTAATAGAACATCTACAAATTCTTGTCGACTCCCGTGCGCCCGCACACAAGGTGCAAAGTGTAAGGATAAAGTGAAGCTCTGGATTTTTTGGAAGCCCTCGAGTGCAGGGCAGGGGAAGGAAAGAGAAGGGCCAATTGCCTACCGTTTTCTTTACACTGGCCCATGTCAAAGATTAAACGTATTTGAACTAGAGGTCGCAGAGAGCGCTACCCGCAACCCACAGAGGGACCAGCGGCGAAGGATTTCCAATACAAAATTACCACAGCTGGGGGAGTGGGTGGCTTTAATAAGAGACATCCCCGGGAAGGGCCAGCGGTCGCCGCCTGGGGGCGCCGCCGCTTCCCCGCGAGGTGCCCACCCGCGGTGCGCGCACGCGAGGCCTCCCACCGCGCCTGCGCTGAGGGTGTACGCTGGCTTGCTTTTCCCCGACGCCAGCCGTCCCGGCCGGGGTGAAAAACTGCGTGACACGCAGTGAACGTGGCGGCCATCTTCCTCCTCTGGGCACGTCAGCTGAGCCTGTGACGGCTGAAGAGGAGCGTTGCGCAAGCGCGACCAAGACGGTCACAGGTAACTCCCATCTGACGGGCGAGGCGTCGCCGTCGTCGCCGGAAGTTTGGCGTATCTGCGCCGCGAGAGAGGCGGCGGTCGCGGCAGAGGCGGCTGTCTCCTGATACCCGGATGTGAGGCGATTAGCTGGCTCGTGTTGGACCGTCGGCCAGGAGTGAGGAAGGTAGGCTAGCTTTCCGACGTCCCCGCCGCGTGCTGTCGCGCCTCCTGCGTCCTCACCTCCCTTTCTGCCAGCCTCTCGGGAGAGCTGGAGGACCTCCCCCCCCGCTTCCTGTCCCACCTTCTGTGTCGTTTTGCATCGTACGCCTCTTCCTACTCCCGGGGTCCGGGCTCCGGGAGCCCTTGGGAGGGAGTGGGCGGCTCGAAGACACTGTCGCTTGAGGTAGGCAATCAGCCTGCGCGTCTCGGGTGCCCAGTCGCCTCATCACCTGCCATTGCTGGTTGGGGTAGGCAGAGGTAATAAGGGGCCATGACCGAGGACCGCGGGTCAGGCCAGGGGTCTCAAGGCTGCTGAGAGGGCGTCCAGAACCCGGAGGTGAGGTGTAGCATTGCGACTACTGGGGCGGTGTCGGCGCTGGTCCGCAGGTAGCCCCCGGCCTTGTCCCCGCCCCCGGCGTCTTTCCTTCCCCGCGTTTTCCCCGAGTCAGCCCCTCCAGCCAACGCGCTTCTGCGGTTTCTGCGGCTTCTGCGGCTTGCTTCCCTGCGGTCGCCCTGGCCGCTGACCCGGCCTGAACCGGGAGGTCTCTGCAGTCTGCAGGATGTGATGTGAGGATCTTGGAGGGGAGCAGTGGCCTGGGTCCAAGGTCACGGAGTAATTCAGCTTGGATCTGTAAGTCGGGGCCAGGTAGGGCTGCTCTGGAGTAGAGAGGGGTGCATTGAGGGCCATAGTGAAGTTTATGGGGATAGATGCGAGCGGAAGGGAATTGGATCCTCTGTGTCACTGTTCATAACATTATTTACAACAGGGGTTTTGTTTTATCCAGGCAGAATGGGATAGCGAGTCCAAAAATTAGGGAACTCTCCCACCCTCTCCCCATCCCCCAGCCCGCACCCCTCCCCCCAAATGTTGAGATCAGGAAACCCTGCTGCAGGTACTATATTTTCCGGGGTGGGGGGCGGGGAGCGCAGCGGGGAGGAGGAAGGAGTTAAATCTTTGTGCTTTGAGAAGTACTGAGAACCTTTAAGAGTTGAAATGGGATTCTTTCAGCAGAAAGTAATTGCAGCGCGCAGTATTAACGAGCATTATCACATGAAGTTTCAGTAAATAATTAACCTTAACAAAAACCAATGAAAGTGATACTTGGTGGAATAGTAATATGGGGGGGGGTTGTTTTTCGCCCTTTAATTTTAAAAGGCTGAGTAACACGGATTTCAGTTTAAAACCTGCTTGCAGTGAACTCCGGTATATTCAGTGTCTCTTTTTATTGGGTCCTTAGTTTCTCCTTTTTCAGTGGAATTATTTTTAATTTGAAGAACTTAAGAATTCTCATTATGGAATTAGATATGAGAGTAGGATGAAAAGTGCTTAAAAAGCATTTAATTTGGAAGCTGCAAATTCAGGCCTAGAGTATGTGAGGAAATGAGAAAATTCTATCAGACACTTACTCCTTTTAAGCAGAATGCAGTTATATACCCCTTAGATTAGATATGTGACTTTGGAAGTACCCTTTCTAGAACAAAACTTGCCTGGCTTATGAGCTTCTGTTCACCTTAATCATCCTGGCTCAGGAAAGTTTGCTCTCATTTCCCAGTGGTTAGTATTACAATTCTGTAGTGAACAATAATTTTTTTTTTTAACATCAAACTCCTACAAGGTTTTGTGTGAGGCATTTAAATCAATAAATTATGCTCCGAAAAGGAAGGAAAAAGGGCCCTAATTAATGAATGCCATTACTCCCCATTGCTGGATGGCCTTTTATAGCGTGGTAATTTATTACAGCACAGTCCGATTGTATTTATTGTAACAATGAAGGTAACTAGCATTGCACAATTCAAAATAATGTTTTTTTAGTAGTTAAATATTTTTCCAGACTTTTTGGAGCAGATTATGTTCCATGTAGAGTTCTTTGATTAACCTTAATTGAAGGTGACCGGAAGTCTAGGTGGTATTTTGAAATCCACTCCAGTAAAACTGTTACAGTAGGTAATTCACTTAAGGTCTGTGTTACCCCTTCAGCAGCCCAGATTTTTCTGTGCATCTTTTGGCACAGGGAAAGTTCTTTGGCTCTATTTCTGTGTAAGTTCTATATTACAGCTGTATCATACTACTGTAGTTACTTCTGACAGATGGAGAATTCTGTTAACTCGACCATCCTTTTTTCTTTTTTGGAAGGGCTATATCTTATGCTTATTTGCATTATAGTACATCGGAAGAAAGCAAGATTTATATCCTTGCTTTCTTCTGCTTACTTTAAACATCTATGGCTGCATGTGTGAGATTCAGAGATGAAAACTCAATGTAAATAAAAGTGGGGTATTAAGTATTACTCTAAAGAAGCAGTTCTCAGACTTTTTGGTTAGGATTCCTTTACACTCTTAAAAATGATGTAGGACTCAAAAAAAAAAAATGATGTAGGACACTCCAGGTAGCTTTTGGTTATATGGTTTATATCTATTGGTAATCATTGTATTCTAAGTTAACTTAAATATATTAATTCATTTGAAAATAGCTAATAAACTAATTACAGGTTACATAAATAACATTTTTTATGGGAAAAAAAACTGTTTTTTTCCAAAACCGAAAAAAAAAAACCAAAAAACTGAAAGAATGGCAACTATTTTACATTTTTGTAAATCTCTTTACTATTTGGCCTAATAGAAAACAGCTGGTTTTCCTGTCAGTTTTTGCATTCAGTCCTATGTTGTTCTGGTTGAAGCGTATGAAGAAAATTCAGCTTTACACCAGTGTGTTGGGAGGAGTACTTTAATGATCTGTCCAGATAATTGTGATATTCTTCTTTGATTCTACAACAAAGCTCAAGTGATTTCTTAAAGGTTAGTTGCAATGTGGAATCTGAAATTGCCTCTCTATTTTTTTTGTGCAGTGTTGTGTTAAACCATTGGTCTGTTTTGTGCTTTGATCTTTTTTTCAAGATTGATTTTGATCTGATGAGCCCCCTGAAAGTATTTATGGAATCCTGACAGTCCCTATATCACATCTTGAGAACTATTGCTTTAATGTAAATAATTAAGTAGTTTAGAATTAATGTGGTTATTGAAGCTGAAAGGGATAATGATAATATGGAAATGAAGTTATCAATTAGTTAAGTGATAATTATTAGTATACTTAACAGGTGCGGCGCGTGTGATGTGCCAGGAGGTCTTCTAAGGATTTTTTTTTTTAAGATTTTATTTATTTGAGAGCGGGCACAAGCAGAGGGAGGGTCGAGGGAGAAGCAGACCCCCCCCCCCAAGCAGGGGAACCTGACAAAGGGGTTCCACCTGACCTGAGCCAAACACAAGCAGGGGGAGTGGGAGAGGGAGAAGCAGGCTTCCTGCTGAGCAGGGAGCCAGATGTGATGCGGGGCTCCATTTCAGGATCCTGGGATCAAGAACTGAGCTGGAGGCAGACGCTTAAAGACTAAGCCACCTGGGCGCCCCTGTTTCATGTTTCTTAAGTAAGCTCCAGGTCCCAACATGGGGCTTGAAATTAACCACCTGGAGATGAACAGTTGCATGCTCTCTTGACTTAGCCAGCCAGGTGCTATCTATCCATTTATTTTTTCACTTTTTTAAAATTTTTTTATTTTTTCACTTTTTAATATTTTTGTTTATTTATTTATTCAAGTAAGCTTTAGGTCCCAAAGCGGGGCTTGAAAATCACCATTTTGAGGTCAATAGTCACAATATAGTTCCATTTTAGAGGATATATACTACTTAAATAACTTCTGTGAGGTTTTTGAGGATAGGGAATATGCCTAGCCTTGGCACCAATCACTGTGTATATTTAAAATACATTGTCTTAGGACACCTGTGTGGCTCAGTGGGTTAAGCCTCGTCCTCAGCTCAGTTCATTATCTCAGGGTCCTGGGATCAAGGCCCACATTGGGCTCTCTGCTTGGCAGGGAGCCTGCTTCCCCCTCTCTCTGCCTCTCTGCTTACTTGTGATTACTGTCTGCGGCAAATAAATAAAATCTTTAAAAAAAAATTTAAAAGAATACATTGTCTTAGAATACTTCAGCACAGAAAATTCAGTTACTGAATAAAACAAATGCTAGGAAATATTTATTTATTTATTTTTAAAGATTTTATTTATTTGACAGAGAGAGGTATCACAAGTGGGCAGAGAAGCAAGCAGAGAGAGAGGGTGAAGCAGGCTCCGCACTGAGCAGAGAGTCCAATGCAGGGCTCCATCCCAGGACCCTGAGAATCATGACCTGAGCTGAAGTCAGAGGCTTAACCAACTTAGCCACCCAGGCGCCCCCAGGAAATTTTAAGAAGATAATCTTGTCAACATGAAAATTTGAAATTTATTATTTATTTACTTTAAAGATTTATTTATTTGTCAGAGAGAAAGAGGGAGAGTGTGCATGCACGCACGAGCAGAGGGAACAGCAGGCAGAGGGAGAAACAGTTTCCTCACTGAGCCTGAGCAAGGAGCTCGACCTGGAACTCCATCCCAGGACCCTGGGAACATGTACTGAGCTGAAGCAGATGCTTAACCAACTGAGCCACTCAGGTGTCCCTTGAAGTTTATTTTGTTAAATCAGTTCAACTAGTATTTGAAAGTTTTAAAAAATTTATTTCTACTTATTTTTAATTTGTATTATTATTTGTAAACATTTAATTATTTATAAATATTTATGTTTATATTATTTATAAATATATATTTATTTATATTATTTATGTAATAAGATTTTTATTTATTTATCTGACAGAGATCACAAGCAGGCAGAGAGGCAGGCAGAGAGAGAGAGGGAAGCAGGCTCACTGGTGAGCAGAGAGCCCGACGTGGGGCTCATCCCAGGACCATGAAATCATGACCTGAGCTGAAGGCAGAGGCTTAAACCACTGAGCCACTCAGGCGCCCCTAGTATTTGAAAGTTTATCATTAAGGAAGTCACTAGGCTCTTTTCTTTTCTTTTTTTAAAGATTTTATTCGAGAGAGCAAGTACGAGCACGGGGAGGGGCAGCGGGAAAGAGAGAGAGGGAGAAGTATATTCC